AGGTGTTCATCTGTCAATCTTGATCTCATTGGAGTTTTCAGCAGTTTCATGCGTGAAAAGGTTTGCTCGCAAATATATGTGCTGCCAAAAAGTGTGGACATCTTCCTTGCGTGTTTTCTGATGTTAGGGTACGTGTCGTTTGGGAGGGCGGCATAGAAGTCAATGAGACCGCTGGGCTTGAACGCGTCTTTCAGAACATCACAGTTCTGTAACTCGGCCAACTCAAACTGATAAGAAGGCTGGGCTTCGTCAATGTCGGCAACAAAGGGGTTCTGGAAAAGACGGATTTCTTTTGCATAAACATGTAGTTCACGGAATCGCGCACCGAACTCCGCCTTCAGCATTTCCAGTGCTTCCACACACTTTTCAGCTGGAAACGGGACCGCTGGGTTCTCTGCAGAGAGGTTTTGTGTAGCAGGGAGATGGACGAAGCTGTGCTTTTTCACGTGTCCCAAAAGCAGCTCTAGTTTCACCTCAAATGCTTTTATGTGGGAATACATTTCGCAAATGAGTTTCCCCTGGCCTTGTAGCTGCAAGTTAAAGCTGTTCAGCATTTCTGTCATGTCTGTTAAAAATGCGAGGTGCCATTTCCATTCTGGGTCGATCAACTCTGGCACCGTTTTGTTTTGTGAATGAAGAAATGCGTTAATTTGAGGTAGCAGCTCGTAAAAACGCTTCAAAACTCTGCCCCGGCTCAACCATCGGACCTCTGTGTAGTACAGCACATCGCCGTGCGCAGATTCCAGTTCAGACAGGAATTCTTGGAACTGCCTGTGTTTAAGTCCCTTTGCTCTGATGAAGTTTATGCATGACACCACAACCTTCATGACAGAATCCCAAGCCAACACTTTGCAGCACAGTGCTTGCTGGTGAATTAGGCAGTGAACTTGTAGCGGGGCGGTGAGACCTCGTTCTTCCATCTCCCGGTTCATGCGTCCTATTAGACCCCGAGACATGCCCACCATATTAGGAGCCCCGTCAGTTGTGATGCTGGCCAGCTTTGACCAGTCCAGGTCCAACTCTTCCATGGTTTGGTACACTTTGCCGAAAATATCCTCCCCCGTCGTAGTCCCTTTGAGACTTTGGAGGGCTGCCAGCTCCTCGCAGATCTCAAAGTTTGCACTAACTCCACGAACAAAAATGAGCAGTTGCGCGGTGTCCTGCACGTCCGTGCTCTCATCCAGTGCTAATGAAAAAAATTCAAATTCTTTCGTCTTCTGCTGCAGCTGGGCATATACATTACCCCCGATTTCTTCAATGCGTCTGGTGATTGTACTCGCTGATAGACTCACGGCATTAAAGACATCTTTCTTCTCAGGACATACCTCCTCCACGACAGCGTTCATGCATTTCTTGACAAACTCTCCATCAGTGAAAGGTTTACCGCTGCTTGCTATCAGTTGAGCAACCCGAAAGCTGGCCCGAACAGATGACTGGTTCAGCTGAGCTTGGTGTACAAATGTATTCTGCTGAGCTAACAGTCCACTTTTTAGCTTTGAGAGTTTGTCTGCTCGCATTTGGCCTTGCAAGCTAGCATACGTGTCTTTGTGGCGGGATTCATAGTGTCGCCGCAGATTATATTCTTTGAATACTGCCACCGCCTCTTGACAGATGAAACAGACAGCCTTTTCTTTGCATTGAACAAAAAAATAATCGTTTGTCCACTGCAGGTTAAATGCCCTGCATTCTGAATCAATTTTTCTCTTACCTAATCTTTTCGCCATTATTCCGTTCTCTCTTTGCGAGGGGCGGGTTTAGAATTTTTTTCTGGGGGTTGCCAGATAGGGGCACAGACCACAGAAGGGTGGAACAGAATGTTACGTTATATGCGTGTATGAAATAGTTATTAACTTATGTATTATAGTATTATATTACTTAATAATGAAAATAGTTCATAACTAAGAAACATTTTATTGCAAAAGTCCAACTTTCTTATCAAATACAAATACACATATATGAAAAAAATTCTAAAAAATGCTCTCTGGTATTGTTCAGGGGGCCGGACCAAATATGGTCGGGGGCCGGATCTGGCCCGCGGGCCGTAGTTTGGGGACCACTGGTCTAGATGATGCATCGTGTGTTGAAAGTATAAATGTTGGATTTTCATTAGTCTGGAATGACGTCGCTGAGATTTCCAGCCCAATATTTAAAAAGGGAAATGCTTCAACTTCACAATGACACCAAACATCATATGTAGGGAATTCCTGGTGCTGTGGCTGCTAGCAGAGAAAAATGG